GTATATACTGGGCCGTCCGATGGAGCACGTTATTGGGTTTAGTGTGACTGGAGGAGAGAGTGATAATGGTATGCCTGTAGTACATCAACTAGCAGCTAAGGGTCTGATTAGGGATTGGGAAGGTGAAGGAGATAAGAAGAAAGATGATATCATTAAAATGAGCACAGAGTCAGGAGTAGTGTCCAGTTACACAGCATATATAGCTATTGATGAGGAACAGGATAAACCTATAGCAGGAGCTCTGAAGACATGGGATCTCACAGCAGTAGGTAATAGTCCTGCAACAGTTCTTGCAGGTAAACCAGCATGGAGGGGACGTGGTGGAGGCCCTAGAGTAGCACGTTTAGCAACTGCAAAAAATTCACGAGGAGCTGTTCCTTTATCAGGCAGTCGTAATGTAAAGAAGAGAAAAGTGAAATCTGCTGCTGTTCCAGTCTCTACCCTTTCTTCATTAGCTATTGAGGACTCAATGGAATCATTAGAGAACAGCAGCAGTGATGATGATGATGAAGAATGTATTGCACCAGCACCACGCATGAAATCTGCTGCCCGAAACAGTAGCAGTAGTAGTAGGTCCCAGCCTGGTCCTTCTGGTGGTTTGTCTCAGTTGATATCATTACAGGCAGCAGAAGGATTCTGGATTCTAAATGATTCGTTGGCTTCTTTGACTGGAGTATCAGTATCAGTATTGAAGTCAGCTTGTCCTGATGGTGTAAGTGTTAATGTGTGGGCTACAGTGCTAGCATTAGTGCTACTAGAGAAAAGGTTTAATAGTCAACGTGATGAATGGGAATTGGTGGCTATGAAAGCAGAGATGTGGGTACAGGCTCAACCTTTGACCTCTACTATTGAATCTCTCAAAACAATTGCTTCAACGACTATTAAATTTTAGGTAATTTCTTTTGTATAGATGTTTTTAATAACTTGTTTTTAGTTGATTTGATATTTGAATGAAAATTTTACATCTTTATTATTAATATTGGCTATAAATATTTTAATAATTTGGCTTGTTCGTGATAAGTGATAACTAATCTAGATTCCAATACTGATTGGTCATAATCATCAGGTAGCAATTATAGCTAAAAACAATGCTAACAGTTGTGAAGTCACTTTTGATGAACTACCATATCATTACATCATCACTCATAATTAGTTCCTAGGGAAATGAACCATGCATATGATTGGCAAATGCCTTGTGTTATTTGTCATGGCAACGCAAGGAATTCATGTGTGAAGCCACTTTGGATATGGTGTATACCATAATCATTACATCATTACTCACTTATAATAACCATTAACAAACACCAACAATACCTGGTATTATTTGCCAAAACATCAGTAAACTCTTAACGCCAAGCTTAACACAAGGAACTCATGTGTGAAGCCACTTCGACTATGGTGTACACCATATTATTACATCATCACTCACTTATAATAACCATTAACAAACACGGCAACTACCTGGTATTATTTGCCAAAAACCTACGTCAACTCTTAACATGATAAGCTCGTAGCACCATGAGCTGTGGGTATTCATTAGAATTGTGATACTCATGCACTTAGATGACACAAGACAATATAAATTGGTTTTGGGCAGCTTAAACTCAACAGACAACTAGACAATGGATAAATCTATCATGACAACTGAAGAGGCTAGTGTTTATCACAATATTTCTAATATCCAGCTAGAAGACGGATTGAATTTGATAGACAATCTCTCCCCTCAGTCTAGTGATAGTGTTCTTGATATGGGATGTGGGACTGGTCGTTTGTGTATGGTCCTTTCCGAAAGACTGAGTGATGGTGGGAAAGTACTAGGGATTGATCCTGACGAAGAAAGAATTAGGGTAGCAGATAAAGGAAGGAAAGATAGCATGACTAATCTCCGGTTTGCAGTAGGATCAGATCAAACTTTTCCTGAGGATCAATACGATGCAATCATTTCTTCTCAAGTCATTCACTGGATCAAGAATAAAGATGCCACTTTCAAAAGGGTATACGACAACCTAAAACCAGGAGGAAAGTTTGCATTTGCCACAATAACTAACAATGGGATACCAGATCTACTGGTAGAGCTCGTCAAGTTATGTGGATCAGATGCTTTTGATGCTGTGATGAGCTGTAGCCATTATGAGTCTCTTGATTTTTACAAGCAAAAAGCCAAAGAATATGGTTTCAGTGTTGTTCAGATCCAGTCAATCAACCGAGAATGTGTTTTACCAAACATTGACACCTTTATCAATTTTTACTTCAGTGCCTATCATGGGAGGTTTGATCGTACCAATCCTAACCTGAATGGATTGAGGGAGAAGTACTCTGGACAAGCAATAAAATGGACAATAAAACTTCTATTCATGGTACTAGCAAAGCCATCAACAACTAAATAAAAAATTAAAACTTCTCTGAGTAAAAATGTAGGAACTCATTAACTTTTTTTAATAGGCGTATAGAATTGTTTATTTTTGCATTTTTGTTTGTTAAAATTAATTTTAGAGTTGAGATCACTGTTATAATAACAATAATGTAACCATTAAATTTTGTAATGATTACTTCCCATTACGACATAACCATTTAAAAGCATAGAGCCTGCGGCGTATCAGATTGACAATTGGATTTTTTTAAGTTGCTCCAAATATGTGCTAAAGTCCATGTATCTACAAGGACTTGTGCTAAATTTTACAATTCTCATTTTTTACAATACATACACATGCATCTACTTATGTTGCCCAGAAAGTTTGAACTGATTCCAATCAAAATAGAATTTTTTTGAGCTTTTTAGTTACTTCAAAAGCTACACTGTGGAATCTCTCAAAACATTTGTTTCAATGACTATTAAATTTTAGGTAATTTCTTTCGTTTTGTCTTTGTTATAAAGATGTTTTTAATAACTTGTTTTTAGTTGATTTGTAATTTGAATGAAAATTTTACATCTTGATTGATAAAATAATTGGCTAAAATAATAAATATTTTAATAATTTGGCTTTTCCTGATAACTAATCTAAATTCCATTACTGATTGCTCATAATTCTCAGGTAGCAATTTTGGCTAAAAGTGACGATAACTGCTGTGAAGTCACTTTTGATGAACTACCATATCATTACATCATCACTCATAATTAAATTCCTAAGGAAGTGAACTATGCATATCTAAACTATGCATACCTTTATAATTGACAAATGCCTTGTATTATTTGTCAATTGTCATGGCAACACAAGGAAATGATTTATGTGTGAAGTCACTTTGGATATGGTGTACTATGTATACCATATCTTTACATCATTATCCTCTTATAATAACCATTAACAAATACCAACAAATACCTGGAAACACAAGTGAACTCTTAACATGATAAGCTTGTAACACCATGAGCTGTGGGTATTCATTAGAATAATGATACTCATAGACTTAGATCACACAAGACAATATAAATTGGTTTTGAGCAACTTAAACTCAACAGACAACTAGACAATGGATAAATCTATCATGACAAATGAAGAGGCTAGTGTTTATCACAATATCTCTAATATCCAGTTAGAAGATGGATTGAATTTGATAGACAATCTCTCCCCTCAGTCTAGTGATAGTGTTCTTGATATGGGATGTGGGACTGGTCGTTTGTGTATGGTCCTTTCTGAAAGACTGAGTGATGGTGGGAAAGTACTAGGGATTGATCCTGACGAAGAAAGAATCAACGTAGCAAATAAAGGAAGAAAAGATACCATGACTAATCTCCGGTTTGCAGTAGGATCAGATCAAACTTTTCCTGAGGATCAATACGATGCAATCATTTCTTCTCAAGTCATTCACTGGATCAAGAATAAAGATGCCACTTTTAAAAGGGTATACGAGAACCTAAAACCAGGAGGAAAGTTTGCATTTGCCACAATAACTAACAATGGGATACCAGACCTACTGGTAGAGCTTGTCAAGCTATGTGGATCAGATGCTTTTGATGCTGTGATGAGCTGTAGCCATTACGAGTCTCTTGATTTTTATAAGCAAAAAGCCAAAGAATATGGTTTCAGTGTTGTTCGGATCCAGTCAATCGACCGAGAATGTGTTTTACCAAACATTGACACCTTTATCAATTTTTACTTTAGTGCCTATCATGGGAGGTTTGATCGTACCAATCCTAACCTGAATGGATTCAGGGAGAAGTACTCTGGACAAGCAATAAAATGGACCATAAAACTTTTATTCATGGTACTAGCAAAACCATCAACAACTGAATAAAGAACGAATGTTCCCTGATTAAAAATATAGGAACTCATTATTTTATAGGTGTAATTGTTTATTTTTACACATTTAGATCTACTTTTTGTGTGCTAAATATTTTTTAATTTGAGATCACGGTTATAATGGAAATGATGTACACATTAAATTATGTGCTCATTATGACATGAACATAGAGCATATTAGATTCAAAATTATATTTTTAAAGCTGCTCAAAAATTGTGCCAAAGACCATGTGTCTACAGGAACTTAGCCAAATTTTGCTAGAAGGAAAAATTAGAGAATTCTCATATTTTATAATTTTTTCTCAATACTAATATATATGTACTTACTTGTCACACAGAAAGTTTGAGCTGATTTCAAATTTCCAATCAAGTTAGATTAATTTTTTTGAATTTCTAATTTGTTCAAAAAGTTCAAAAATTGAGCCAAGAAGCATGTACTAGTAGGCCAAATTTTGTCAAACCTAAAAAGAGAGAAATCTTTATTTTATACTTTTTCCTAAAGCATATGCATGTATAATACTTATATTTATGTTGCAAAAGAGTTTGAGCTGTTTTGATCAAAATTGGATTTTTTAATGAATTTTTAAGTTGCTTCAAAAAGCACACGTCAGCTTTATGAAGCCTGCTTTTAGCTCACCTTGTTCTTGTATAGGAAGAGCCATTAAAATTATTATCAACACTACAGGTCAGAAGCATATAAAATCTCAATATAACCCACTCATGTAAACCTTATATCAATTTATTAGAAATTGATTTCTATACCATAGGTATCATTTCTGCATCTTTTGTCAGTTTTGTGCATAAAGTGAAAATGAAAGTGTTAGTACTCCAATAACATCAAAGGTTTCTCGTATCCCTCTCCAGCTACATCAACTAGTCGGGAACTGACCCCTGGTGGATTTTCAGGTGATGATCTTGAACTTTCTCCTCAGCCAATAAGGTAAAAGAAGAAGCACAAACAAAAGGCAAACATAAGCACAAGCACTGGTTTCTTTTTAAAGGTTAATATAAATTTTAATGA